AACATAATCTTCTACCACTCTTGCAACTGCCCTGAAAAAGCTGCCTTCAATTCAAAGCTACCTGAGTCAAGGCTCTTTCACAAGGGATGACGTACCAGTTTCATACAAATGTGCAACAATTATGGCTCAATAAAAATCGAATTCCTACCTTACACCGACATGCAGATTTTACAAAAAAAATCCTTGTTGCTGCGGTCCAGGGCCTCAGATTCGTTTGAGGGTACCTTGTGGACTCAGGGCAGTTTTTAAGAAACCCTATTTTGTCCTGAAATGTCAGGACTGTGCAAGGATGGGTTTGCGGTAGGGTCAGTGCTACAAATGACATTATCCTGACCCGTCAGTGCTACATTTCATTTTATCCTGTGCACAACGGTAAAGGCTGTATTTGTTCTAATTAAGAGCCACTTTGGAAACTTTTTTAATAGACATGCATTTCAACATTCATCTCCTCCTCCTCGAGAAAATCTTGAAAAGCATCATTATCATTGTCCCCCCCACTGTCTGCATCCCCCCCATCCTCTGCGTGGTGGTCACGCTTCTCTGCAAGTGACCCCCGGAACCCTGTGGCACTCCTCTTCGATACATTCACCGTGGCTGCCTTGCGCTTGGTGGGTCGCCTCTTTTTGGTGTTGCGCCACAGTGCCACAACTTCACTCCACTCCATGTCGTACTCCAGTAGACTCAGCGTCATGAGGTCGCCCAGCTTCGCGTCGCACAAGCTGGTCCGCTGCCAGCTCTTGATGACATTCTGGCGCGAGAATCCGCGCTCGCACTCCACCGTGCTGAGCGGCAACACTGCCACAGCCGCCCACAGCCGCACCAGGTTCGGATAAGTCCGCTGCCAGTCCGCAGTTGACAGGATCGCCCATAACCCCGCATGGAAGGGTTGCTCCTCCTTGGGCGCCCCGGACAGCACAGACAAAAACGTGCGCATCTCCTTCCGCACTTCGCGCTTGTTCACACCTGTATGATGGGATGATAAGGGAACATACAAGCGCAGCATCAACAATCACGCTTTTAAGGGGTACAAGATACACAGCGATGTTTGTGGGCGAACAAAACAGTTGTCTCACCAGGCAGTATATCATCTCTGACGCGAGCATGGAACATCGCCGCCAGCTTCTCCATGTGTTCTTTGCACTCCGTGTCTCTCGCCTCTTTCCCACGCGGCCAGGTTCTTGACATGAAGAGCTTTGCGGCGTTGAGATTTGTCAGGTCGCCAAGCCGAAAGTCGAGGTTGTAAAGCAGCTCAGTCGCAAACGAGCGACACGTTCGAATGCAGGACTGGATGTCACCAGCACTCGCCGAGTACTCGGGAATCGCCTCTTCGTGCAGGGTGAACTCATGCTCCCTTGCCTCCCCGTCGGCGTCCACTCCCTGCACAGTCACTTCCCTGCTGCATGGTGCACTGTGGCGAGCAAGGAACGGCGACAGTAGAGTGCTCGCCCCTGCATCGAACTGTTGCCCACAGTCGATGTAGCGCTCTCTGATGAAGACTTCTGTACGCCTCAGCTGGGAGTGGACCCCCGTCAAGTCAACCTGTGGTCGGGTTTTGGATCAGGGAGGGCACAGTAGTGAAACACATCCGTGAGCATCAAACACCTATCAAGTGAATAGTGCTACAAAGCAGACAACGGTACCTCGCGCCTCTGGAAGAGCAGGTTGAGCGAGTTCAGCTCTACGTGTACATCCACCAAGAAGTACACAAAGAAGTGGAACTTCAGGCTGGTGACCATGTGGTAACAGGTTGAGTCCACCTGCTCCAGAAGGACAATCACCGCCGGCAACACCTTCACGAACCGGGCTATCGCGTCACCGCGGCTTAGCCACTGTACGGCGTGGATCCCTTGCATTTCCAGGTTCGTCCGGGTGAAGACGGCCTGGAGCTCCTTGGATGCAGCGTTCGAGGTGCTGCTGCGGCCGAGATGCTCCGCCAAAGCACGGATGAGAGCGTCAACCATGGCGAGCTCTGGGAGCGCTTCTGCAGAATCTTTCGCGGCAAGTGCCTCCTTGTAAAGAAAAAGCCACGGACACAGCGTCAGGCAGTCAGTTGGTAAAACAGCGGCGAATGTTGGATCTGGGATGCAGAGGCACCCACCTGTGGGCGATGCAGTGGCACGAGACCAGATGAGGGATGCAGAGTCGAAGTCGCCCGGTCAGTCCGTTGGTTCCGCCGAGCATGACTGGAGCGCCATCGGTGCTAATCCCGACGATCTTAGCAAGGGGGAGGTTGATGCTGTCGAGGTAACCGACGAGCACTGCATACAGGGATCCTGCATCGCATTTGTCAACTATCAATAGTGTGAGAAACTCAGTGGTAACCTCGTTTTCACGCAAAAAAGTGATGAAGACAATCATATGCTTCCCCCGCATGCGGTCAGTACTCTCATCACAGCTCAAGCCAATGAATGGGCTCGAGTCTATGAACTCCCGCTGCTTCGCACGAAGATAGCTCGCTGTCGCGGACACTAGTTCCGCGAAACCGTACCTCCGAACACACGGTTAGGGAACATAGTGTTAGTATATAGTAGATCATGTGTTAAGTGAAAGATATGAACAGCATATTACTTACGTTGTGTAATACGCACCGTAGCCATTCTTCGGGAAGCCCGGAGTTCCACGGGAAGCAAGGTGCCGGACGAGTTGCACCCACATCTCTATGGGTGCGTCGGTCTTGGTGATGAACAGCATGGTGTCCAGCAGCGACTCCACAGCGTCGTGCTCCACGTCAGGGGCTGTTGGGCAGTCTGGGATGCGATGCTGTCCGGCAGCTTTGGCCAAAGCCAGCTCCTGATTGCGGATGGCTTCTCTGTGCTTCGTGGTCCTTTGATGAGGTTGCATGGCATGAGTCTGCACATCCAGGGCCCCCTCGCCTTTCCCGAAGTTGGTTCCAGTTCCTCCATAATCCATACACACTGTACATTTCATGGAGGGGAAACCAAATTTAGTTTGACAAATAATAAGCCAAGGGAAGTCCTCATTCCACGTCGTTTAAACATGAGCAAAGCTTCTTGATACTTCTCCTCGGCGACGTCGGGAATCTCGGTGTCAGAAGAAGCAGTGGCGGCGGTTTCAACAAGGACAGTAGGTTCGGTGGTCGGTTCATGATGTTGCCTGGTGACGCAAATGACAGCGGTGGTGTCAGATGTACGGACAAACGAGAGCTTTGTCTGTTGATACCGTTGCGCGGAGAGTTTTTGGCTCGGTGATCCTTTGCGGGTCGTCCCAGCCGCCTTAGAGCACTCCCCTTGCGTGCGAATCGGCGGTGGCACGGGGACGTTGTCAACCACGACCGGTGCAGCTGTCACGGGAGAAGGCACGGGTGGCTGGGACGGCGACGGGAGGGGATCAGATGCGGCAGCGGCAGCGAAATCAGCTAGTGTTGGTTTCGGCGGTGGTGGAGGCTGAACAGGCCTACTACGCAATAAATCCAGGCCCGTCAACCCTACGGTCGGGCCGGGTGGGCTAGGTATGGCGGGGGCTTCACCATCGCCCGCCAGCGATGGGTCAGCCATGGACGGTAATTTGCGGCAAAAATAACGCAGACATACGGCGTCGAGCAGCTAGGCAAGTTACGGGGAAAAACAAAGATTGTTGGCGTTCTGGCTGGGGTTTGGTTGAGAGACGAGAACAGGCTGGAGGGGATGGAGGAAGAGACAGAACATAACATCACAATCTTCCCAACCCCAGACACATGGCGCGTCGACCACAGGAGTCGCGGCGTATGCGCTGGCACAAGCATCTTGCAAAGTTGGATAAGGGACAAGTTTCATGGCTAGGTGGGAAGCACGTGTCACCAGCATCTTGCATTGTTGGCCGTGTTTTTCAAGCGTGTTAAGTCAGCGGCGCACTGTGATTGGAAGATGTTACAGCATTATTGTGGTTCCAGGCTGGGCGCGGTGTGGTGTTGCGCCACCCAGGCAAAATAAACAGTGCGACAGTCACGGAGCGTAATTTACGCTGTACCAGGTCGGTGGTTGTGTACACTAGGCCCGGGGAAAATGCAGTATTCGCGTCAGGACAAGTCTCGACACTATCCTGACTCATCAGGGCTGTACCTACAGTGCTATCCTGAGGGCCCAGCATGAAAAATTACCATTATACTGATATCACAGGACAGACATTTGCATTGTGCTGTTTTTACAGGAGAGGCACTAAACACCTATCCTGAATTCAGGAGAATCAGGATAAATTATCCTGATAACGTAGGCCCTGCTGCGGTCTGCCATGTACGCTGTTCTACGCAAAGGTGGGATGTCCCTGTCATCAACCGAATCACAAGACAATCAGCAGCGACAGGCCAGGCCCCCCTGCTGCAGCGCACAAGCCGTCACCTGCACTGATGGTGGTGGCGTGGCAGCGAAGGAATTGAGAACAGTCCCTCTCAACGACCGAATCATAACAGGCGAGTCCGCAGCAGCAACACTTTTTTTTTGCAGCAATGCACGTCACTCCTCGTGATTTCTTATGCAGCACTGATGGTGGTGAAGTGGCAGAGATGGGATTGAGCACAGTCCCCCTCAGCGAACGAATCACAACAGGCGAGTCAGCACCACCAGCAACAGAAAGAACCCCTTCCTGCAGCAACGCAAGTCATCCAATTTCTTATGCAGCACTGATAATGGCGGCGTGGCAGGGTTGAGATTCAGAACAGTTCCTCTCAGCGACCGAAACACAACAGGAGAGTCGGCGGCAGCAACACGAACCTCGGTGCAACAGCCATCCCTCTGTCCCCTCATTTCTTATGCAGCACTGGTGGCGGCGTGGCAGCGGTGGGATTGAGACCAGTCCCTCTCATGGACCGAATCACAACAGGTGAATCAGTAGCAACAGACCCCCTTGCTGGAGCGACGCAAGCCATGTCCTCAATTCTTCTGCACTGGTGGCGGCGTGGCAGAGATGGGATTCAGAACAGTCCCCCTCAGCGACCGAATCACAACAGGTGAGTCAGCACCACCAGCAACAGACCCCCCTTCTATGCAGCAATGCACATCATCTCCTCATTTCTTCTGCAGCATTGATGGTGGCGGCGTGGCAGCGATGGGATTCAGAACAGTCCCTCTCAGCGACCGAATTACAACAGGCGAGTCAGCACCACCACCAGCAGCAACAGACCCAGGCGTCCCCAACCCCCCTCTCCTCTGCTCCGGAGTCCCCACAACACTCCTGCTCCTGCTCCTACTCCTGCTCCTCCCATCCCTCCCCACACTCCCAGTCCCGGCAGGAGAAGCAGAGTAACTCGCTCTCAGCTTCGGATCAACAATCACTTTACTCCGCTTCATAGCCCGAGACACCAGCTTCTGTGCTGCTGCCGATAATCCCCCTCCCGACGGCCCTCCTAACCCCCCTCCTCCGCTTACCAATTGACTCTGCCCTCCCCACGCGCCCATCCCAGCAGCACCACCACCAGGCGTCCCTTTCAACCCAGGAGACACAAAAGGAGACATCATCCCTCCTCCTCCTCCCCCTCCCCCTCCCCCTGCTCCTCCAACCCCTCGCACCGGCGTCAACCCAGCAGCGCGCAGCCGCCTCTCTCGAATGCTCCTTCCCGCGGACCTAGACAGCTGCACCCCTGCTTCGTCCCTCGCTGGAGCAGCAGCCATGGTGAATTGAGGGCCCCCAGCACCCACCCCTCCCACCTCATTGAACCCCACTGGAGTGTCCTCAGCGTCTAAACGCAGAGGCGTGCCATCTAGCTCTCCCCAGGTCATGAACGGGGAAGCATCAACGCCAGGAGCAGGAGATGGTGTTGCTACATAGTCGTATTCTGACTGCTGCTGACCTCTCCCGTCTCCTCCTCTTCCCACTCCTCCTCCTGCCCCTCCTGCCCCTCCTGCCCCTCCTGCTCCTCCTGCTCCTCCTGCTATCCCCGCTCCTACAGGTGTTCTCCTCAAATCCTCCAAATCGTATCTTTTCCTCCCATCGCGTTCCCCCGAAGGGTCTATGTAAGGCAGGGGAGTTCCCCCCGGTAACGGCGTGAACAGAGTCGCAGCTATTTCCTCTGGAGGCTGCTTCTGCTGCTGCGCCGTCTGGTTACCACCACCCGTAACACTACCGTGAAACCTCGTGTTCGCTTTATGGACTTCCTTAGGTGGTCCTGCTGATCGAAGCTCCTTTTCTCTCACGGAAAAAGGGGCATCCTCTCTACAAGCAGGTGGATACATTAGCGCATTACGCGCAGTGTATTTCCACGTTTCTAGTGTACTGGTCGTTTGCCCCGACGACCCAAACCCATCCGTTTTCCGATCCTCGTTCTCACCCGTCCCCGTTATAAGCTTCACCGCTTCTCCTGAGCCAGTCAGCTGCTTCACCCCTGTCTGCCCCATACCAATCTTTCCCCCTTCCCCGCCTTCACCCCCTTTCCCCCCTTCCGCTCCTCCCCCTGGTCCTTGTTCCAAAGCCAGCAGGTGTGACACCTTAGCCATACGCCGCTTATTATCCTTCTTCTTAATCTCCACAAACGAAGCGTTATCCTCGCTGGTGTACCTCTTAACGAATTCGTCAAGCGACAGGCTTGTATCGGGTCCTCCGCCCCCCTCTCCCTCTCCGATCCCCCCCTCTCCTTCCATCCCCGTTGCCGCCGCCGCTGCTGCTGCTGCATCACCCTCTACTCTCCCCCTGCTACCTATCCTTCGTCCTGTTAGTCTCTCCTCATCTCTATCCCACTCCGACGTCCTTAGATCGCCTTCGGATAAGAGGCTAGGCGCGGGACTAGGCGCGCCCGCGGAAAGCGCGGGAGTCGATAGGGTGGAACCGCCTCGACCGCTCCTTAATCCACTACGTAAGTCACTCCGTCCCTCGCTCCCGCGGCTCGACCCTCCACCAGCAGCAGCAGAAGCTTCCGCGCGTCTTCGTAAAATATTCACCTGCGCCTCGCGAATCAGCACAGGATCACCGGATCGCACCGCTTCCAACCACTCCAGCCGGTTCTGGAGCCGCGGAAGATCCGGAAAGTAATCCCGCTGAACGATCCGCTCGATTGCTTCGATATAAGTGTCCTCGTCAAGAACAACTGGCGCGCGGCGAGGACGCGGACGCTTCGCGGGAGGAGGACCCATGCGCTCCCCCCGCCGAGGGGTGGCGGAAGGAGTGTTAATACCAGACGTGGTAAGTGCGGTTGTAAGCGGTAATGATTTGGCTGAAGCGGCTTTTGCCGGAGGGGAGTTTTTCGAGCCGGAAGGGGGCGAGGGAGGCTCGGAAGTGGGAGGAGGCGAGCTGATGTGGCGCGGGGAATGACCTGGGGAAGCCAACATCGCGAAGATATTGATCCGACGACAGCGTCGACGACGGTTACCAATACAGTGGATTTCAGCGGCAAATGGGAAGCCCTTTTACTTCGCCAGCAGCTACTAAGATAACACCTGCTTCCTCCTCTCAAGAAGCTCGCCGAATTTGAACAGACAAAGCACACGCCTAACAAACACTCTGGTGGTGTGGTGGTACATGTGTCAGGAGGAGGAGCCAAGGCGATGGGCTCGAGGGGTGGGAACACTGTTGATGGCGGGAAAGCTTTGCCAGACGAGCCACGGAAGTGGTTACGACAATTTTATGGTTGCGACAGGGACGGGGTTTTGAGCGAACCGTGGCGAAGTAGTTACCTGACATCGAAAGCCAGATGAGAGTTGTCACGGCAACACTATTCCCGTTTGTAAGTCTGTGAGCTATGAAGCGAATGTACACATCAGCAGTAGACAATGTAATAGCTTTATTGGCACCATTACTATTATAAAGATAAATGTTGCGGCTACTTCATGCCTTAGCTCACATAGACATGCCTTGCCTTGCCTTCACGGGTTTGTTCGATCCAGATGACCAATCGATTGCTCACTGCTTCTACACCACAACCCTTGGTATCATCATCTTTGTTAGTCCTGCTTCCCCCCATTCACCTGACTGACTTCTTTGCATTTTACACTATTCACCAGTTCGGTCAGGTTAACTATCCTGTAGCCTTGCTGCTTTAACTTGGGCAGCAAAATCCGCAGAATCTGCGCATGGAGGTACACAAGATGGTGGATAAGAGTCGGCAGGGCACCAGAGGTGGCAGTTTTGGATAAGAGTCGGCAGGGCACCAGAGGTGGCACCAGAGGAGTAAAGAGGATCAAGTGAGAGGAAATGGATACGGAAAATTAGCCAGTAAGCACCAGGAGCAACAGAAAGGCCAGTGGGAAAGCCCATAAACCATACCAAGGCCAACAATATCACGAAAATAAAAATCGTACAACAATATCACGAAAATGTCAACATGCAACACTGAGGCGAGAACGCAGAGAGCGGGGCTTACATGGTTGGTTTGTGGGCCCTGCTGCGGGCGATCGTGAAGAATGATAATGGCTCCTGGATACATCTGCATGGGAGGAAGGAGGAGGGAATCGATGGATGGAGTGGGAGTGTATGTGGGAGTTTTCAGATAATGATGGGCCCTGGATACTTATGCATTGGGGCATAAGGGTGAGGGAATGGATGAATGGAGTGGGAGACTGTAAGATACTTTTTTGATGATCATGGCTTGTCTATGTGTTTCAACCAGCACAGCAGTCATACTAGAAGGCTCACTCACCTTCCACAGGCAGAAGCGGGCAAGGAAGCCTCCAAGCTCTTGAAGAGCAGGTCTCAAGGCAACAGAGTGACTCAATGACCACCCCAGGAGGCATAAAGGACAGCATTGGAAGTCTTTGACAAGAAGAAGTCACCTCACATAAGCCACAAGTAAGAAACGCTGCACCCACCTTCCACAGGCAGAAGCACGCAAGGATGGCCCCGCGCCCCTTAAAAAGCGGATCCAGGGGGAACACAGAGCCCAGGGCGAGCCTGTACCCGTGGTTGCGCGCCCTGTGCTGCATGTGTGGCGTGGCAAAGCCATAGCCCTGGTGAGGAGATAAGACAGGGAAAGGAGGGCACCAGCGTAAAGAGGGCAGCAGGGGAGAGCAGTAGGGAAGTATGGAGTGTGAAGTAGAGTGAGCGGGGCTAGTTTCCCCATATAGTGGGAAACACGGAGCCCAGGGCGAGCCTGTACCCGTGGCTGTGCGCCCTGTGCTGCATGTGAGGCGTGGCGAAGCCATAGCCCTGGCAGGGGAGAGCAGGAGGGAGTGTGGAGAGTAGAATGTGGTTATTAAGTGGTGAGTGATTGAGTGAGGGAGAGAGTGAGTGAATGGGGGAAACACGGAGCCTAGCGTGAGCCTGTAAGCATGGGAGTGCTAGTCAAAACAGGGGTCTAACGGAGGTCAAGGAGAGAACAAAATAGCGATGCGATCAGAGAAGAAACCAGCTGACATAGAGAGAAGAACCTTACCGGTCTGAACCACTTGATTTGACGGCCATGGGAGTCAAGAGGGAAGAAGCGGTGGAGCTTGGCGTCCACTTCGAGCATGGATGCCATGAACTGCTTCTGTGGGGAGGGGAGAGGGGAGAGGGGTTGGAAGCGGGGGATTAAGGCATTGGCATGCCAGGGGGGTGGATTGGGTTGGGGCAGGCAAAGAGTAAGAAGCGGTAGAGCTTGGCGTCCACCTCGAGCATGGATGCCATGAATTGCTTCTGTGAGGAGGGAGAGGGGGGAACGGGAAGGGAGGAGAGAATCAAGGCATTGGCACGCCAATAATATGCACTGGGGCATACAAGGAGGAAGAAGTGGTGGAGCTTGGGGTCCACCTCGAGCATGGATGCCATGAATTGCTTCTGTGGGGAGGGGAGAGGGGGGAGGGGACGTGGAGGAAAGTCAGGAGGATGGACGAGGAATGCCAACTCTTGCAGGAGGGGAGGAAGAAGCGGTGGATCTTAATGTCCACCTCGAGCCTTGACGCCATGAATTGAATCTGTAGAAAGAGGGGGGGAGGGAGTGATGAGTGGAAGCGGAGCGCTGAGAGGGAGGAGAGGAGTGAAAGTGGAGGAACGGGGCTGCTTAAAGTCCACCTCGGTTGCCCTGGACTGTTTTCCGAGGGGAGCAAGGACACAAGGTGGGGACGATGTTTGAGTGGACTCAGAAACAAGGCAATGAGATGAGTATCATAACATTTAGCTTGGTTGCCTTAACTGTTTTTTTAGTGGAGGAACGATACAACGTAGATAGAGAGGGGCGAGAGGGAACATTAGCACAATATGGAAAACGTGATATGGATATGAATGCGAGGATAGTGCGACTGATTAAACAGAGTACAAATGTGAGCTCATCAAAGTCAAGGGACCATACCGTTCGTTTTGAGAATTCTCAAAGCGAACCTGCAAGAAAAGGGAACATGGATGTGAGCTCCATCATAGCGAGGGGTACGTACGGTGGAGAGCAGGCAGCCTGGATAGTCCGCCATCATGTGATTCGCCACTTCATGCCCTGCCATGGTGCCATTGTGCCATGGAGATGATGAATCAGGGTTGCAACATGGACAAAATGGATGGGGCACCTTAGAATATCTGCATTGTGATTGGCCACGTCATGCCCTGCCATGGTGTTATTGAAAAAAAGCAGCAGGTTGCCCCAAGTGCAAGTGTAAGCAGAATAATTTATATGTTTTTACCACACTGCAGCTTCCACCATACAACACCGCACCACACCGCGTCGCACCACATACCATCTTGCACCATGCGCTCCACGAGGTCAGGGTATTTATCAATGTTAGACCCGATAAGAAAGAAGGTGGCTGAACACCCGTGCTCCTTGAGAATATCCAGAGTCTGTTTCATGAGAGCAAGTGGGGAGGGGTGGAGAGGGGTGGGGATGGGTGGAGTTGGGTGGAGATGGATGGGTGCAGTGCAGGGAGGGGGAGGGAGGTGGCTGAACACGTGTGCTCCTTGCAAAAATCCAGAGTCTGATCCGAAAGAGCAGGTGGAGAGGGGTGAGGACGGGTGGAGAGGGGTAGGGGGAGGGAGGGGGAGGACATGAAATGACGACACTGTATATTCTGCCTGAAACTGAGACGTATTAAAGAACGGCTCAAATCAATTTCTGCTTGACCGGGGTTATTCAGCCACTGTGGCACGGATAGGCGGAGGAGCACGTTGATGGGGTGAAGGTTGATTTGGCGTTAGGGCCATCGTCGTTTGTGAGTCCCACGATTTCACGTTTGAGTAAACTCAAAAGTCAATAGCCAGCACAAGGGAACGCAAGCTTACCTCGCAGGTGAATTTCCCATTAGGGCCATCGTCGATTGTGAGGCCGACGATTTTCTCTGAGAGGAAGGTGAAGGCCGGGTAGGGGGGTAGAAATAGAGTTCTGAGAGGAGAGACGGAAAGAACGGAGACATACGGCTCGATCCTTTGTTGTTTTTCAGGCCCACAATCATCTCTGACGGGATGGCACGAGCAGGCAGGAGAGTTACGGAGCACATGACGAGGAAAAGGAGGCGACGGGTGGAACAACTCAATTTGATTGCTGCTTGTCACATGACATGTATTTAAGAAAATGTAAAGGCCAGGCAGGGGAGAAAAGTGGTAGAGTGACAGGGGAAACGAAACCATGGGTGATTATTTAGATCAATCCACTGGCAATTATGAGGCTGAAGTTTCTCAATGCGTTCAGACGAGGTTAGGAGGAAGGAGACAATTAACCATACGCCAGGAAACGGGGGCAGAGAAAACTATAGTAGGGAGAATTTCGAAGGAGCAGACATTGCAGAGGGAAAATTTAGGGAGCAAGTTTGCAAAAATTAGTCTGGAGTGAACAGAGACGAGAAAATTGCAACGTTCTAGACAAGTGCACAGATAAGAGCTTCGGAAAATGTAAGCACATGCACCTCTAAGAAAAAGCAGCTGGTAAAACATATACATATGTTAATATATTTTCAGATGGCAGAAGTGGCTCTGGAAAAAACCAATATCGTTGGGGTCTCTTACCTTTGGTGTCAACTTCAAACAACACTGCTGGCTGGAAGAGACGGCTGATGGCGATGGCCCATCAGCCGTTGGTGTTTGAACCAATCTTAACGTCTCATCGCATTTCTCTTACCTTTGGTGTCAACTTTAAACAACACTGCTGGCTGGAAGAGGCGGCTGATTCAGATGATCCATCAGCCATTGGTGTTTAAACCAATCTTGAGATCTGATCACATTTCTCTTACCTTTGGTGTCAACTTCAAACAACATTGCTGGCTGGAAGAGGCGGCTGATTCAGATGGTCCATCAGCCATTGGTGTTTAAACCAATCTTGAGTTCTGATCACATTTCTCTTACCTTTGGTGTCAACTTCAAACAACATTGCTGGCTGGAAGAGGCGGCTGATTCAGATGGTCCATCAGCCATTGGTGTTTAAACCAATCTTGACATCTGATCACATTTCTCTTACCTTTGGTGTCAACTTCAAACAACATTGCTGGCTGGAAGAGGCGGCTGATTCAGATGGTCCATCAGCCATTGGTGTTTAAACCAATCTTGACATCTGATCACATTTCTCTTACCTTTGGTGTCAACTTCGAACAACACTGCTGGCTGGAAGAGGCGGCTGATGGCGATGGCCCATCGAGGCTGGAAGACCACCCTGGGGACGAAGGAGGGGGTTAGAGGGATTGGTTGATACAAGAATATTACCAAAACAAAGGTGAAAACAAACATCCGCGAACCAAAACGAGATAAACATTATTTGACGCGAGGAGCCGTGACATATGACATGACAACTAGGGCACCTATATGAAACTTGTTTTGAAAAATCTTTCGAAATGCAATAAGTTGGTATTATGTATTTTCAGAAACCATCCGTACCAAGCACTGGTCCACGAGAACAATGTCACAGCTTCCCAGTGGGAAGAAAGACGTGGGAGATGGACACAGAGAGGACTAGACGCAAGAGGCGGACGCGAGGGGATGCGTCAATCCAGAGTTCACAGGCTGGCAGAGCGGATGAAACCTGCCAAGCCTAGAAATGTCTCCAGAGGCGTATGCGATTGCTAGTAACAACTGAACACACGTTTCACGTCGCGAGCGTGGAGATATTCAGACAGGAGCGCTAAGCTCGGATGCTTATCCATCGTCCTTTAAGATTCAGAAACGTACCCTACTACCGTGAGAACCACCGCAATCAGGCAAATGATGCTGGCGACTGGCGATTGGCCGATCCAGTAAGAACTTTTCGATTGACTGAGCCCGAATAGAAACTCCACGCCGAGCATTGTGATAACAACGGGCTGTTCTTATAAATAGTCGGTGCCGTATTCAGGAGACTATTAGATTGTCACGATTCGAAGATTTTTGTGGAAAAAGAAGCTGAGAAAGTAGCGTCGCTTGACGAAGCGGTTTTGGGAAGTGGCGTAACGAGACGAATCACCGTTTACAGCTTCAGTTTCCCACCCGAAGCACTATATAAGACTGTCAATAACTGTTCAAAGCCACACACACGCCGTGAGAAACTCCGTCAGGAATGACCGAGTCATGGATTCAGAAGTGAAGAATTTCCTTAGTTACCGTTCCGGGGAAGACGGACAGACTTCTGGGATTTGATGATGGTTGGCATTGACGATGGTTGGGGATGGGAGTTAGGGCGTGTTACATTTGGCCGTCCGAACGATTTCAAGGTTACGGAACTCGTTAAATCTCGGCAGTGTGTTCGTTAGGGTCTAAACAACGTCGCATTCTTCGTATTGCCTCCTTACGACATTGAATTGGTCGCAACGCGACCGTATGACGTCGTAATATTCGTACGTGTCCGGACAGCCGTCCGGAATTTCAGCAACTTAAAAAAATGTAGCACGCCCTGAGGTTAGATTTCCCGATGAACGGGAAAGAAATCTAGAAACTTGGACCGTCCGATCGCATTTCTGGTCCAATCATCAACACCCTAAGCGAACAGGTCGCAGACTCGCGGCTGGTGTCAGTGTCAGAACCTAGTGGCGGGAAAACTACGACATAGAGCTCGCCCATATAGCGTGCAAAATAGAATAATGTACTGCAATCACTTATTTCAGACTCAACAGCACTGAATATGACAAGCCGTACGTAACAAATATTATTGACATGGTGGCTTCATTTCAGCTCCTTCATCAACTCAAGCTCTTCTCCTTGTAAGTCAGCTTTAATCTCTTGAGGATGCCTCCACCGTAGCAAACACAGGCAAGGATGCTCGATTGCCTTCTCTATTCCCATCTGCCGCGAGCAATGGGGATCCATCCCCTTCCTTCCGTTCCCTCATTGCACCCATGCTCTTTGACACAGGCACTCGAGTTTCCCCATTCATAGCAGCAGAGGACACGGCTGGGAAGGATGCAGATGCCGTGAGTGGTGGCGCTTGTGGTGGGCCAAAGAGATAATAGTAGGTGCTGGTGCTGAGTTGGGACACTGAATCACGAAATTGAGACAGCTGAGAGGTGGAAGTGGAGATTTGATGAGGGGGAGGTGAAACACGAAACAACAAAAACAAAGAATGTGGAGGATGAAGAAGCGTAAGTTATTGATTGCTTGACACAGAAAATATCGTAGATAGAGATCCAGAAGCACGGGTTGCGTCGGACACAAAGCATGTGGAGCATGATCAGAGGCGCCTTAAGTGAAGTTGAACAAACCTGAGTTGATGCTTGATCATAGAATTCCAACGTCACATCTCCAGCATATGCAAAGCGGTTGACCCACACTGCAGAGCGCCACAAGCGAACACAACATCACAGAAAAGAAGGATGAAGATAATAATAATTAGCACGACTAATTCGCAAAATATCTGAACATCGTAAAGCACACGATCACTTAACCGTCCAAGATGCTATGCTTCCACCGATACCTCAAAGTTCACACCTGGATCAATCCATCTCCAATCACACACACACACCTGGAGTGGGGCCAACGCCTAGCGCTTGGCAAAACTCGTCGCAGAAGTGGTTGCAATTGCGCGCCAGCATGTCGTAGGAGCGTCCAGGCCATTCTTTACTCAATCTCCGGAGCAGCTCGCCTACTTTCTTCTCCCCCATGCCTGTGACACCCATCTCTATCGTCTCCCTGAATGTGTACATGGGGTTCCCCTTAGGCGGACAGCTGAACACCCCTGACCCTCGCTCGCAGTAGCCAAACGACCACTCCTCGCCATAAACCTGGCGTGAAGGAGAGCGATAGGTATGATGGGAAACAAGTGTGGAGACAAGCACGGAGACAAGTGTGAGAAGAGAAAAGCGACGAAGATGACACGTAATAGGGAAACGTAATAACGGGAGACAGAGTATAAATGCAGGTCGTGCAGAACGGGGAACTGAGAGATAGTAATATGGATAGAGCCCTTTATAAACAAAAGGACCAACCTAAGACCTCTATTTTTCGCTCCACGCACTACGTTCGTACATGCTCAAACGCGTAAGAAAATGCTCACAAAATTGGAGAGACATCTTCAGTCAACGTTAACCCGATCAAAACGCAACTACACACACCTCCACAGTCAATTGGAAGTATAATCACCAAAACGCTTGTCTATCCTCTACGGCTCCAGAGAAGGCTCCGCGGGAAATACAAATCTTTACCAAGTTCGGTTCATGAAAACCACGACGCACTTTCACGGCTTCATGGACAACAACCTGAGAAACACGAACTTATTGACAAATTCCGATCGCCGATCACAATGCACTTCTAAGGTTCAATGAAAAACGAGATCTCAAAGCATTCTTATGTGCTTCATAGGGCTCTACGCAACTGGACGGGTTCCCCTATGCGAGCTACTAGAACTTGTTCAGGACTCCGACGTAACGTATCTCCGGCAAACATGGCTCCCTTGCTCAGGCTGGGTCGTACCAAGAGATTACGACGCACCTTCACAGCTTCCACGTTTACGCCATTACATTCACCTCTACACCTATGGCTCTAGTTCCGAGCTTAGGCCATTACAGCTCCTGTACAACGTGACTCAGTCATGACCAAGGCGCACCTCGACAGCTCCATGGAAGATCCCGCCGATCCCCAGCGCGTCTTTAGTGACCCTGTTGATTTGCAGGATGGCGTTGTTCGTCTTGGGATTCGGGCTGTTCGTGATGTCGTAAACATGCAACGAAACTGTCGCCATGACTCTTCACGGCCTAACCGCCTATGGAATACTCGTAAACACCAGCAGGTTATGAAATCTGAGGTTTCTGCAAAGTTCTGTAAGAGTCAAATCGAACTACTAGTAAGTGTAATTCCACCAGCTGATCCACCACGCTAGCTACCGGTAAGACAGCAAGAAAAGCCTGTCATTGACTGCCTACAGCTGCGTAGTCAGTCGGTCAGTTAGTCAGACTATCACACCGTTTCGCTCCCACAGCCAAACGGAGGACCTAGAGAACCACAACCACAACTACTAACTGAGCCCTTCAGAGAGTCACGTCACTTCCCGATTCCCGAAAGCTGATAGAATACAGTAGAGCACAGGAGGAAGAGGCTGGAGGCCGAGAATTTCAGGCTGCGGTACTTGTTTGTCAGGGGGCAACTCCAGTCAACCTGGTCCCGGGAACAAACTGTACAGTACTGCGTTCGGACTCGAAAGATGGGCGCAATACGGCGGAAGGCGGCGGAGGGCAAGTGGAGTGGGGCGGAGGTCGTGGTTGGGGGTGGCATGGATCTGTCAGGCGGAAGCCCACTGTGCTGGGCCAATGGGGATTGGCGAAAGCGGAAGTCTCTCCCCGCTTGCGGAACTTAGCCGTGCATTCACTGACGGAAATTGGCGGGGACACTCAACTTGCACGTCATTGGTCAGTTGCTACCAACACCCCTTGAAGATTGCGATTTCGCTAAAAGCCACTCGTTGCAGCGCGAGTCCATACAGGCATTCATAAGATGTTAGGCGAGTCGTTGGTAAACAAAGGAATATTTGTTATATGAATCTATGGGCATTTGCGATGCACATATGCAGCTCCATGCTCCTCATACCTGCAAACACGAATCAAAGAGGTTAATACGACAAACTAAATAAATATGATGTCCGCTGAGCCTTGGTTGGTTGATACAACACACACTGAACCACTTACTCTGCCTTGGAGAGCCACATTTGTTGAAACGAACCCAAGGAAGCGAGGATGCTACCCCCAATCCATACACTGTACATCAGCAAAAACCACGTGGACATGGTTCAATACATTAGCGAACGCTTGAGAGAACGATGAAGGATATTATGTGCAACGGCACAGTACCTGAACTTCCTTTCCATAATATTGCCGCTTGCCAAAACCTTCACTTTCGCTGTTTGTGGTGCCTCCTGCAGAGGGTTAGACACAGAGAATAACACCATAGTGAGGCAAATTGGGCCCTTCGTACAGGTAATTAGGCAATCAAGAGCAATTAACAGGAAAACAACCCAAAAAACTATTGTTAAGAGAGAAAACTACTCAAAGTGGCAGAAGCCACTGGTTTTGGTTATGCCAAAAATAAGGGGGAGGGAGAGGGGGAGGGGGGAAATCAACATCTTGGTTGACATGTGGTGACTCACCGTCATGAGCTCCTTCTCCAGGCACTCTTTGACCTGCTGCATCGCCATAGTGACTCCCAACAGATTTGGAGTCGACTCAAAAAGAGGGGGGGGAGAGGAGAGGGGGGCGCTATGTGGTGACTCACCGCCATGAGCTCTTTCTCCAGGCGCTCCTTGATCTGCTGCATCGCCATAGCCCCTCCAGACAGTTATAGAGTCGACTCAAAAAGAGGGGGGAGGGGGTGGTGGGGTGCTTTGATTGTGGTGACTCACCGCCATGAGCTCTTTCTCCAGGCGCTCCTTGATCTGCTGCATGGCCATCGTGCCTCCAGAGGTGAAGTTTGAGTCGACTCAACAAAGGGTGGAAGGGAGGGAGGGCGGGGTGCTATGGGGTGACTCACCGCCATGAGCTCTTTCTCCAGGCGCTCCTTGATCTGCTGCATGGCCATTGTGCCTCCGGACAACTGCCAGAATCACATTAACACACACATGGTTGAGGAACATAACTCTTAATTTTCCCTGGGGTACTTTCAAGGTCAAAGGAGCAGAATAGGGAGCGGGAAGAAGAAACGAGCCACAACCTGCGAAAACCTGCTTATGGCTGCCAAAAGCAGGATACCTGGTTTTGGCAGCCATAAGCAGTAGAGGTCACGACCCTCACCGACACAAAGCTGTAGAGGACTTTTTAGGCGCTAAAAATTCGTCTCAATTTTTGTGAGGCGCCTCAATAAGCAGTAGAGGTCACGGCCCTCACCGACACAAAGCTGCAGAGGTCTTTGTGGGTGTCCAGTCCACATGGCACTCGATCCTGATGTCAGTTTTTGAGTCGACTCAAAAGTTAAACTGGTACGACCCTCAACAACACAGAGCTGTAGCGGCCTTTGTGGGTTTGAATGGTCTTCGAATGGTCCACATGGCACTCAACCCTGATGTCAGCATTTCCATACCTCTTCAAGAATTTCACGTACGACTCTCATCAGCAAAGAGCTGTAGGGATCCTTGCATATGTCCACATCGCACTTGCTGATGCTGTCAACCACCCTCAAGCAAGCATGCCATGAGGACCATCAGTCCATCACCCCGTCATGCATCAGCACTCTCACACCCCTTGACTCCCTGCATCATTCTCTCACCAGCACAGAGCTGTAGAGGTCCTTGCGAATATCCACATCGCACTGAATCATTCATCAGGATTAGCATACCATACCCCTTGCATCATACCCCTTGCATCATACCCCTGCATCATACCCCTTGCATCATACCCCTGCATCATACCCCTTGCATCATACCCCCGCATCATACCCCTGCATCATACCCCTGCATCATACCCCTGCATCACACCCCTGCATCATACCCCTGCACCCCCTGCATCATACCCCTGCACCATTCTCTCACCAGCACAGAGCTGTAGTGGTCCTTGCGAATATCCACATCGCAGTCAACTACAAAACCACAATTGCCATACCCCATACAACATCACGATTGCCATACCCCATACAACATCACGATTGCCATACCCCATACAACATCACGATTGCCATACCCTCACAGAAATGTTTGCCTCTCACCAGCACAGAGCTGTAGAGGTCCTTGCGAATATCCACATCGCACTTGCTGATGCTGTCAACCACCTGGGAAGAGGGAAAGAATGGAGGAATAAATATTCGAATTAACAGGGGAATTTTTGCACCACACTACATGCTGTACGGGGTAGGTACTAGGTGGGATGGTAGGGGAAGGTAGAAACAAATAAACTGTTTTCAAAGGCACCTCAAGAAAAAGATTAAAAAGTGCAGAGGCACGTGTATGAAGATTTATTTTCAGACGTCTCAAATTAAAAAGTGCAGAGGCAGGTAGGAAGGTAACGGAAGGTGAGAGTGGCATATGACGAGGGAAACGGACGCGTTGACAGCACATGAGGTGAAGTGCACATGGGCGCAACACATTGCCACAGTTCCTCACATGCTCGTACCATTCTCGCTATCCCTGGTGACTTGGCAGCATCAGCAATGGCCTCTGCTGTCCATCCGCCACTGGACGGGTCGGCTGAAGCAATTGACTGCAGGGCAGAGGTAGAGTGGGAGAGCAGGGGAATGGGAGCGTAAGGGGAATGAGGAAGTGAGCAAATGGGCGAGTGAGGGGATGAGGACTACGGGGGGCGCGCAGCGAGAGAAGGATATTCAAGGAGCCTGCTTTTGAGTCGACTCAAAAGGAGCCTACGGAAACGTGATTTTTGAGGCGCCTAAAAAATCACCTCAATGCGTGCAGCGAAGCGCAGTGAGAGACGGATATTCAAGGAGCCTACGAAAACGTTTCACTGAACGGAAGCAGATTGACTGCATGGAAAGGGAGAGACAGAGTAGAAGACGGGAGAGTAGAAGAGTAGGGCGTAGAGGCAGGTTACTTTGCTGGCGATGGTACACTGAGGGCAGGTGGGCACTGGGGCAGGTGGGCACTGGGGCAGGTGGGCACTGGGGCAGGGGAAGGTTGCACTCACAGATAACAGGCTTGGATTGAAGAGTGCATCAGCCACTTTGAACCGGTCGCTGCCCACCTCCAGTACCCTGGGCGGAGGGGGGTTGGGTTGGATTTGGTTGGATTGGGTTGGATGTATATAGTTGATGGGTTGACTAGCAGCCCAGACCAGCCATACCATGTGTTGCCATCCCTCTATAACCTACCCGGCCCCACCTTTAAATGCCGTTTCTCCACACTCCCTTCAACCACTCAGCAAACCCCACCATATAGTGCCACCCCTCTGCATCCCACTCAGCAATTGACCCAAATCCACCATCCCACCTAACCCCAGCACTGCTTCACAATTTGCCCAGCCACACACACACCTGTTGACACCCATCTCAATCCCATTCAACCACTCACTGGCCGTCTGGCAGTTCATATGCCACTGTGGGTACATTGGAGAAGGAGAGATCTAAACGGACAAGCATGGGCGGAAGGGTGGGACAGAGAGGGTTGTACACAGTACAGTACACCGCTCTGAGAAATTCCAAAAGTAAACCACAACCCACCACTGAATATCAAGCAGAATGAAATGCAGGAAGCACAGACTCCTTATAACTACAGCCATTTCATTCTAGGCAAGGCGAATCAGGTGAACACACGTCATCATCGGAAAGGGAGCATCACGGTCTTCATTGCATTGCAGCCGTTCAGAATCAGGCAAGCACAGCCGTTCAGATTCAGGCAAGCACAGCCGTTCAGATTCAGGCAAGCACAGCCGTTCAGATTCAGGCAAGCACAGCCGTTCAGATTCAGGCAAGCACAGCCGTTCAGATTCAGGCAAGCACAGCCGATCAGATTCAGGCAAGCACAGCCGTTCAGATTCAGGCAAGCACAGCCGTTCAGATTCAGGCAAGCACAGCCGTTCAGATTCAGGCAAGCACAGCCGTTCAGATTCAGGCAAGCACAGCCGTTCAGATTCAGGCAAGCACAGCCGTTCAGATTCAGGCAAGCACAGCCGTTCAGATTCAGGCAAGCACAGCCGTTCAGATTCAGGCAAGCACAGCCGTTCAGATTCAGGCAAGCACAGCCGTTCAGATTCAGGCAAGCACAGCCTTTCAGATTCAGGCAAGCACAGCCGTTCAGATTCAGGCAAGCACAGCCGTTCAGATTCAGGCAAGCACAGCCGTTCAGATTCAGGCAAGCACAGCCGTTCAGATTCAGGCACATAGCAGCATACGCACCATCGTAAGGAGCATCGGGCACGCGGCACACGGTCCGCTACAGACCACACCTCACCACACCTCACCACACCTCATCACACCACACCACGCGTCACAGATCCAAGGGACACAAATTGCGTCAGGTGAATACGCGCAACACACCATCATAGGGAGCATCAGGCATGCGGCACACGGTCTCCATCAAACCACACCACACCACACCACACCACACCACACCACACCACACCACACCACACCACAGCCACTCACATTCATGCAATCGCAGCCACTCAACTTATCAGATAACGCAACGCACCATCATAAAGAGCATTAGGCATGCGGCACACGGTCTCCTTCAAACCACACCACACCACAGCATACCACATTCATGCAATCGCAGCCACTCAACTTATCAGATACCGCAACGCACCATCGTAAGGAGCATCGGGCACGCGGCACACGGTCTCCTTCATATCTGCTGCGGTCGCCTTCTGCATGTACAGGCGGTAGCTGTCCGTGGTGTTGGGATAGGCTTGGTCCACTAGCTGTAAGGTTAGAACGTGGGAGAGACAAATTGGGGAGGGAGGAGAGGCACTGGGCACGTGGCACAGACGGTCGCCTTCTGCATGTACAGGCGGTAGCTGTCCGTGGTGTGGGGGTAGGCCTGGTCCACTAACTGAGAGGAGATGGGGTGGACAGGGAGAGAGGCAGAGGGAAGGAGACGGAGCAAGGGAGCGGCTGAGGCAGCATGAGATACACAACGTCTCCTTCATATCTGCTGCGGTCGCCTTCTGCATGTACAGGCGGTAGCTGTCCGTGGTGTGTGGGTTGGCTTGGTCCACTAACTGAGAGAGAGAGAGGCAGAGGGAGACGGAGGGAGGGAGCAAAAGGAGAGGGAGGAGCAGCAGAGGGAGCATGGGAGACACACAGGATCTTTCCTTCATGTCTGTTGCTGTCGCCTTATGCATGTGCAGGCGGTACCTGTCTGTCTGGGTGACTTTTGAGTCGACTTTTGTTTGAGACGTCTCAAAAGCACCCTCTCTACACCAGGCGGTACCTGTCTGTCTGGGTGACTTTTGAGTCGACTTTTGTTTGAGACGTCTCAAACACACCCTCTCTACACCAGGCGGTACCTGTCTGTCTGGGTGACTTTTGAGTCGACTTTTGTTTGAGACGTCTCAAACACACCCTCTCTACACCAGGCGGTACCTGTCTGTCTGGGTGACTTTTGAGTCGACTTTTGTTTGAGACGTCTCAAACACACCCTCTCTACACCAGGCGGTACCTGTCTGTCTGGGTGACTTTTGAGTCGACTTTTGTTTGAGACGTCTCAAACACACCCTCTCTACACCAGGCGGTACCTGTCTGTCTGGGTGACTTTTGAGTCGACCTTTGTTTGAGACGTCTCAAAAGCACCCTCTCTACACCAGGCGGTACCTGTCTGTCTGGGTGACTTTTGAGTCGACTTTTGTTTGAGACGTCTCAAACACACCCTCTCTACACCAGGCGGTACCTGTCTGTCTGGGTGACTTTTGAGTCGACTCAAAAGTCTTCTCTCCTTCATGTCTGCTGCTGTTGCCTTGTGCACGTGCAGGCAGGAAGTAGCTGTTTGTCTGTTGTGCTGAATTGGTGTTCCATAGGACCAGGAAATGAGTGACGAGCAAGCAAGGGTCGAGCATAAACGAACTCCAAGCAGGCCAGGAAACAGCATACCTCAAACTGGCCCGGTCGGATCAACACTCGCTTGAACGAGAACCGTGGGCGGACCTGAAGACAGCGACACAAAAGCGAGGGAAGGGGTAAGAGAGGTTGGCTGGTTGGAAAGAAATTTCTGCCAGGGAATGACTATCCCTCCCACTGACATGTAGACTGTCAGTTGATGCTTATGCCACATCCTATGAAGCCGATGCTTTTGCCTCTCCCTGCCCAAATCGCACCTTTTCACTGCCCTGAAGCATCGGGCTTTGCTGGTCACAATAAACTGCAACTCTCGTACGCCCAGATCTGCTCTCACTATCCTTCAGCCTTGCCTTTTCAGCAGATTCAAAGGGCATTCCCATTCACACCTTTTGCCTGCCCACGGATCGTAGCAGAAACTCTGTGAGTGCATCCCCAGCCACAGGTGAGCGACGGAGGGACTGAGGGGAGGGAAAGGAGGGGACGGAGGAGATGTGTGGGGAGGAGTGGAGACGGGTGGAAACGGGTAGAGAGGAAGTTGGCAAGCAGGGAGACGAGAGGAACTCTGTGAGTGCATCCCCGGCCACAGGCGAGCGACGGAGAGACTGAGAGGAGGGAAGGGAGGGGATGAAGAGGGGTGGAGAGGGGTGGGGAATGTTGCAGAGGGGTGGAGAGGAAGTGGGCGAGCAGGGGAGAAAGAGGAACTCTGTAACTGTGAGTGACGTTGCCGGCCACAGGCAAGGGACGGAGAAAGACCGCAGAGAAAGGGAGAAAGTGTGTGTTTTGAAACATGTCAAAGAGTGATGCAGAGAGTGTGGGAATGGGAGGAAGACACACAGGTTGGTGAGGAAGAGAGCACGTCAGTGAAAGGCTTGCAGGCTACGGGAAAGCAAGCCGGACGTACAGTTCCACACACATGTTACATGTATGATATTCTATATATTCAATATATTCCTTGTACACAGAATTGAACAAGGCGAGAGCGCCTCACCTTTTGCAGCACGTATCCACTGTGCATTGCTGCAACTGTTGTGACTTGGAGTCGACTCAAAACTCATCACATCTATACATAAACACTCGATTCACGGAGCGAGCAGCCCACCTTTTGCAGCACGTATCCATCGTGCACTGCTGCAACTGTTGAGGATGAAAAGCCGCTGCCAGAGGAAAGGAGGCAAGGAGAAACAGACAAGACCAAGTACAAATACGGAAACAAATTATGGGAATCCATTTCTCAACACGTCTCTGATTTTTGTTTTGTTCATAAAAGCAGGGGAAGGCATTTGCAACTGCAAATGCAGTGACATAAAGGGAGGGGGTTACTTCTGGCAATACACCATCCATCCTGTCGAACAATGTGTTGAAAACCCTCTCCCCTACTACCTGTCGACTACAAGCAAGGTGGCTTTCCACAGGAGAAGGGCGCCAGAACAGCATTCCAGGCCAGGACGACGGCCAACAAGGGAGCTGAGGCAAGGAGTCTTCCTTGCTGGAAGATTTCCGGCTTCTTGTTGGACTCCTTGTTTTTCTCTCACAAGAAGCCGGAAATTCCCGAAATGAGAGAAAAACCCACTACTACCAAGTTACCAACGCACCTGTCCACGACAAGCGAGGTGGCCTTTCCACAGAAGAAGGATGTCAGAACAGCATTTCTTGCAAGGAACATGGCTGGAGACCCGAGGGTTTCGAGCATGAGCTGCACTGTCTTCTCCCTTGCTGCTGGTGAGTTGACAATGCCAACCCTCGCTCCCGTTAACTACACACACACCTGTCAACCACAAGCGAGGTGGCTTTCCCACAGGAAAAGGACGTCAAAACGGCGTTACGGGCCAGGAACACCGCCGGGGACCCGAGGGTTTCGAACATGAGCTGCACGGTCTTCTCACGCGCTGCTGGTGGGTTGAAGGACGGTTCAGCTAGCAGCACTGCATGCTCCTTGGGATCTACCAGTAGGCGATCCCTGAGAAAGAGGGAGGAGGGAAGGGGAGCGAGAATGGGAAAACGATGCGGAGTGCTGAGAAGAGGGGAGGGTTGAACGGCGGCTCAGCCAGCAGCACTGTATGCTCCTTGGGGTGAGGATGCAGTACTTTCCAGTAGCCGGTCCCTGGAATAGAAGATGAGGAAGAGGAGAGAACAAGGACGACTGCTGAGAGAGAGGCCGAGGGACTTCTCGCGCGCAGCGCTGCTGGCAGGTTGAATGATGGCAGCGCTGCTGCGCGCTGCCTACGGCTCAGCCAGCAGCACTGCGTGCTCCTTGAGGTAGGCAGTCCCCTGCGACAGTAAAATGCATGTTGAATTAAGTGCACACTAAATGTAAGATGACTAGTTGCACACTTACTTCAGTGCATGCTCCCAAATAGCAGCAACTCCTTCCCAGTCCGAGAGAAGGCCATTGGACACAGACGGCACCACCTGTGGCAGGCAGGTGTAGGCAAGGGGGAGAAGAGAAAAACAGAGAGTAAAGGTAAAGAGAGGAACATGGAAAATGTTGGATTCATGTAGTTGGAACGAAAATGGTTAAACAGGGGGCAAGCAATTATTCATGGCCTGGCCTTTGCGATACGGCATTGCGATTGTACGTGGCCCATACGTGGCCCATACGTGGCCCATACGTGGCCCATACATGGCCCATACGTGGCCCATACGTGGCCAATGGTTGAGATTTACACGATCAAATGCCTCGAAAAACAGTGCGCATCTACTTGGTAGAAGAATAATAACAATGAACATTTAATAGAGTACTCACCTCCATGAAGTCTCGTCTGTATCCAAGAGCATTGCTGCCCACAAACAGCTTCCTCTTGCCACCTGGCGAGCCCCCATTCGCCGTCGCCCCTGCTGCTGCCACGCCCCCTTCCAGCTTCACTCTCTTCGCGTCTGGCCCCTCTGCTTCGCTGCCCTCTCCCGTTTTACCCTCCCCACCTGTGCGTTCTGCATCCGTCTCTATCACACCAAACACCTGCCATGCCATGCAAGCAGCATTGTGGGGTGTGGAAAGAGCTTTCTAATTCAATTTGAGGAGCCCAAGAAAAGCAGCAGCAGCAGCAGCAGCAGCCGCGCCCCCTTCCAGCTTCACTCCCTTCGCATCTGGCCCCTCTGCTTCGCTGCCCTCCCCCCTTTTCCCCTCCCCACCTGTGCCATCTGCATCCGCCTCTATCACACTAAACACCTGCCATGCCATGCAGGCAGCGTTGTGTGATGTGATGTGATGTGATGGGATGTGATGTGATGTGATGTGATGTGATGGGATGTGATGTGATGTGATGTGATGTGATGTGATGTGATGGGATGTGATGTGATGTGATGTGAAGATAGATAATATACATTTTGAGGAGCCTAGTTTTGAGGAGCCTAGTTTTGAGGAGCCTAGTTTTGAGGAGCCTAGTTTTGAGGAGCCTGGTTTTGAGGAGCCTGGTTTTGAGGAGCCTAGTTTCTAGGCGCCTCACAACTAGCAGGCAGCGTTGTGTGATGTGATGTGAAGATAGATAACATACATATTGAGGAGCCCAAGAAAAGCAGAGGGTGTTATTCTCCCAGCGTATACTTCACACCCTTTCCCAACCTTGCAAGCCACGTGTTTGAAGTAATGCTTTGAGACGTCTCAAAACATTACTTCAAACACGTAGAAAAGCAGAGGGCGTTATTCTCCCAGCGTACAAATAAAAAACTGTCCCAACATTGCAAGTGTCTGGAAGAGATGCTCTACATACAACACAAAGCGACAATTAAAAGGGATATAAAAGCGGAGTGCGCAGGGGCGAGATATCTGTCTGTGCATACCGAGGGGAAGACGGCCTTTGGAGCATCCTCCCCTGCGTATCCAGCCTTGCACGTGTGCGAGCCCAGATCCAGCACCAGCGCCGATACCTCATCTATAGGAATGTGGAGGTGTAGAAGATTGTGAAGGGGGGGATATATGAAAACACACCAGGACACGAATCCAATTAGCCTAGCATGTGTGAGGGAGGTGTTAAGGGGAAGGGGCCCAGACCAGACCTCATCTGCTTTGAGGGGGAATGAGTGAAGATCGAAACGATGGAGAGTGTGTGCGAGGCTCAAGCTTCGCGAGTGCGAGGAGAGCATGTAATGGGGTGCGGATACAGAATAAATAGATAGATGAGCGTTTTCAAAATACTTCGCGGGGCTCAGTACACCGCCAGTGCTGATGCTTCGCGCGTGTGAGGAGAGCATAGAATGGGGTGCGGGTAAAAAAAAAAAAGAAAAACACTGAGAACATTCAAAATACCCTGCGAGGCTCAGTACAACGCCAGTGCTGATGCTTCAGCATGTGAGGATTCTATCCATGCGCGTGATATTCAGACACTCAAAATAATGCTTCAAGGTTTTGAAAAAACAAATCAGAAAATACCTCCGCCGGACATGATGCTCGCGATGCTTCTTATTTACGTATATGGCTCCGATAATGTGGTTCCTACAGCACCAGTTGGAAGATCGTTCCCGTTGGAGGCGTAGATGCGACTGCGATATTCGACAGAGAAACTAACGCGGGGGTATGACGTCGGAAACCGCGGCTTCCAGAAAGATACCTCGCTAACTCTGAAGTACAGTCGGTGCCCATGTGCGTGAAACCAGGTAGGCGGGCGGCATGTGCGAGAAACGAGTTTGAGAGATTTCGCCACGTTCGCCCTTGTCGCCACGGGCAAAAAGGTGACTGTAATATGAAATTGCAACGGGAATCGAGTTAAGGGCTTTAATTTCGTAACCAGATTAACTTCTCTGTGTTATGAGTTGTAAAGGAGAGTGCGCAGGTAAACGAATAACGAGGCTGTGACTGAATGAATGAGAATACAATGAATGCACAGACTATTATAGGACTAGCCTAACCAGGAGGATGCACAGACTATTATAGGACTAGCCTAACCAGGAGGAAACCTCGGGAGGCGAGGTTGGGTGCAAGTTCGGGGATGGAAATGCCGAAGGCGACGCGGGGAGCCTCGGCAGCGTTGAAATCGGCCGAACGTGCGAACTCCGAAAATCGGGTTGTACGCGAAGCAGTCAACCCCGATAAGGAATTCGGGAAAATTCCATACACTACCCCCCCCCCCTCTAAGAAAGGCGGTCAATGTCTGCGACACGTCGGCGCGCCAAATTATCACCAACAAGTGGCGAGGCGTCGAGCGAGGCGGAAGGCACCTACGTGTCATCCTCACTGGTGCGATCAGTCCAACGAATCAAGAAATCCACGTGTCGGCCAGCTGCGTCAAGGCGAACCCGATGAGCCAGGATTTTCGAAGGGTCGAGTGTTGGCTCCGGAACAGGTCGTGCCGTTGGGGCAGCTTGTTGACGGGCGATGTCTGTCGTGGCTGGCACGAATTTGCGAAGAAGGCTGACGTGGAAGGCGTCGTGAATTCGCCAGTCGTCGGGTAGCAACAGCTTCGCGGTGACAGGTGTCACCATCTTGATAATTTTGAACGGTCCGCAAAATCGTGGCCGTAGCTTCGACGGGCCGGGCAGGTGCAGGTTCTTCGTGTCAAGTAGCACTAGTTGCCCAGTGGTTAAGACCAGTTCCCGGCGTAGAAGGTCAGCGTATTTGCGGGAGGTGATATTCGCCTTGCGAATTGCGTCGGCAGCTTTTTCTCGGGTTTCCTGCAGTTCCGTCACAAAAGTTTGTGACCGTGGGACCGGGTTGTCGAGAGAAGTCGCGGTGGGAACCGTCGGGTCCATCCCGTAATTCAGGAAAAACGGGGAGTGATTAGTCGTGCTTGATGGTGCGTTGTGTCAGTAGATCTGCACTGTAGATGCCCGATTGATCCTGGAGAGGGTTACAGGCGCGTTCGCTTGGGGGGTTATGGGCGCACTGACCCGCTACTGAAACAAGCCCTTTTATCCCAATGGTCTAGTGGTTGGGATTCTGACATGGTATCAGAGCAGTCTCGGGTTCGTTTCCCGGTGTATGCACATGTAGGCCATTGCCGCTGTGCTTAGCCCTGGGCCTCCCAGTGTGGGGGGGTGTCAGTAGATCTGCACTGTAGATGCCCGATTGATCCTGGAGAGGGTTACAGGCGCGTTCGCCTGGGGGGTTATGGGCGCACTGACCCGCTACTGAAACAAGCCCTTTTATCCCAATGGTCTAGTGGTTGGGATTCTGACACGTTGTTGAAAGCGAACTCCAACATCGCGAGAGAGTCTTCCCAGCGGGCGGGGTCGGGGCAGTTTGTCCTGATTAACTGCTCCATGGTCTGGTTGGTCCGCTCGGTTTGGCCATCGGTCTGGGGGTGGTAAGCCGTTGAAAACTGTAGCTTCGTGCCGTACTGCGCCCATGTCTCTTTCCAGAACTTGGATGTGAATTTTGGGTCGCGGTCGCTGATGATCGCCGAAGGGATGCCGTGTAGTCGCACGACCGTCGAGATGAAAAGTCGCGCAGTTTCTTCGGCTGTGATTGTCGTACGGCATGGTGCGAAGTGCGCCATTTTCGTGAAGTGGTCGACGACGACGAGAACAGCGTCGTTGCCTGTCGGCCCAGCTGGCATCCCCGTGACGAAATCCATCGTCACTTGCTGCCACGGTCGTTCGGGTGGCTCGAGGGGTTGCAGCAGTCCAGCTGGTCGTTGGCGTGTCGATTTCATAGCTTGGCACACCCTGCATGATGACACATATCGCTGCACGTCGTTAGAGGAGTCAGGCCAATAATATCGACGGTGCTGTAATTTCTGGGTTTTATCAACCCCGAAGTGTCCGGAGAAGTTCGAATCGTGGACCTCGTGGATGAGAAGTTCACGCAGCAGCCGGTAAGCGGGAACCCAAATCCGGTCGGTTCCGGCTTTTAGGTAATAGTCCCCTTTCTGCGTCGTGGCCTGCTGATGATTCCCGGTCGTGAAGAATGGGTCCGTCGAGTAGCCATGGGTGAATAGTCCTGTAAGTAGCGGGTTCGAATGGTTGATGAGTACTGCAGCGGATTGTACTGTCGGTCGGGTCAGGGCGTCGGCGATGTTATTCGCCCCTTTCTTGTACGTGATGTGGTAGGTGAAATGGCTCTCCATGTAGTCGAGCCATCGAATCTGTCGTGGGTTCAGGTTGGGTTGGGCTCGCAGGTACTGTAGGGATTTGTGGTCCGTGCGAACAGTGACGTCGGCGCCCACCAGGTAGCATCGCCATAGTTTAAATGCGTGTATGATGGCGAGCATCTCCTTGTCGTGGATCGGGTAGTTGCGTTCGGCTGCCTGCAGCTTCCTTGATTCGTAGGCTATCGGCTGCAACCCGTTCCCGAAATCTTGGAGAAGTACAGCTCCGATGGCGAAATCTGAGGCGTCGGTTACAACTTCGAACGGCTTCGATGGGTCGGCGATGCGCAGCACAGGAGGGGACACGAGAAAATTCTTGAGTTCCTGGAAAGCCACTTCTGCCTCCTCCCCCCACACAAAATTCTTGTCCTTGTGCAGTAGGTCGGTTAGCGGTCCGGTTATCCCCGCCATATTCGGGATAAATCTCCTGACGTAATTTACGAATCCGAGGAAACTCTGGAGTTCCGTGACGTTCGTCGGGGACTTCCACTCCTGTATGGTCTTGATTTTCGCCGGGTCGATTTTAATGCCGTCGCGCGAGATGACGTGCCCCAAAAACTCCAACTCTTGTTTAAAAAACTCGCACTTAGAGCCCTTGGTGATGAGTCGGTGTCAGAGGTCCACTGGTGATCCCCGATTGATCCTAGGGAAGGGTTACAGGCACGTTGGCCTGGGGGGTTATGGGCGCACTGACCCGCTACTTAAACAAGCCCTTATATCCCAATGGTCTAGTGGTTGGGATTCTGACATGGTATCAGAGCGAAGGTCTCGGGTTCGAATCCCGGTGTATGCACTTCGGGCATCCCAGTGCGGGGGGGTGTCAGAGGTCCACTGGTGATCCCCGATTGATCCTAGGGAAGGGTTACAGGCACGTTGGCCTGGGGGGTTATGGGCGCACTGACCCGCTACTTAAACAAGCCCTTTTATCCCAATAGTCTAGTGGTTGGGA